ATTGGCTGGTATTGGTTGATGAATAAACAAATGATGAATAAAGAGGTACAACTGGAATTAAGCCGGAATTCCATGTTAAGATTTTCACTTACAAAATATCCACCAATCAGCAGGCAGTGAACCGAACAAATGATCTCATGCAAAATAAAATAAAATGTCATCCGGAACTGAATAAATTATCTCCGAAATCAGCTGTGAAAGCAACAATATCATTTATTTGTTATTATTCATTATTGACGAGCGGTCGGACGTCGGTTTTTTGGCAAAGCGCAGATAGGACAGTCCCTTTTGAGAATGGCGGGGTAAAGGGAACCGTTGAATAAGAGGTGGTGGAGGTTCGGTGGACATTTTGGTAGTACTTTGTGGATTTTAACCGACGTGAGAAAATGAATGATAGTTAGCATGAACCTCTTGGAACAAAATTCCGTAAAATTCCGTGAAAAAAACTAGTTTTTAGTAAAACGTGTACAAAATATTACATTCAGATTATTATAATTTTTCAGCGTTTTAAGCGAACACACAACAGCAATGGCGAATTCATCACGTGATGTTTCCGTATGTTCTATCACTCACTCAACTAATGATAATTTTGTAATTTTGTCATTTGTCATTTGCGAACATTCCGGAACTTATCCTTTCAAATTCATGCCCAAGCATGTACTTAAAATTTTAAAAAGTTTCTTTGTTCATTTCAAAAAATGTCAGATCGTTGGGTTGGCCACGGGCATAATTGATAATTTGAGGAATGTTCGAAATGTCCTTTATTTTCAACCCTTTTTTCGGTATTTCGATTTAATTAGTTTCAGTACTGTTTTTTTCTATGTTGTAAAGAGTTACTCGGAAGATACTGTATTATTCATTTTAGGAAGCGATGGGAGCATTGCACGAAGAGCTCGAGATACACAAGATTGATCTGCAATGCATATTGGAGGAGAGTAGGGTATTGGTTCAACAGATACGTTTTGAAAGAATTTATACCTACGACCGTATTGCATTGATCAGTTTAATGGAAGCTCGATGCGTTCAACTTGACGCAGTGCTTGAACATCTCCATTTCAAAAGACTGAAAGTAATAGAGATTGCCGCCAAAATGGAGGAATTGAACAGAATAGCGAACCAATAATGGATCCCTTTCTCTCATTTTAAATTGTTGATTTCGAAAATTTTTTGCATATCTTAGAAAGATAATAAAATATTTTTATGTCCCTTGCAAACCTAGCAAGTTACTCAATCAGTCTTTTCAAGTAAAATCGAATCCATTGCAATGTTTAGTGTCATATGGATATAAAATTTCGACTTCAATATTGTAAAATCTATGCAAATTTGACTTTAGCAACTCATTTTGTACACCCAACAATTGTTTACAATTTTTAAACTGAG